ACAGGCGTGCTCCATGATTGAGGTGTAAGGTTAAAATTCAGAACGTGTTCCTCAGAGCATGGGCAATACCATTCCAGAACAGCTTAATACTGAAGAAATTCTAGCCTCAGCCCCAGACGGTACAACTACTTGCTCCCTTTCACAGACAGAGGTTCTTGGCTAAACCGGGTTCCCAGATTAACAGAGAAATTCACACATCTTGTGAAAGTATTTCTGTTAAAAGGAAATACTATTAAATACATCTTGAGCTTTCAAAAACTTTGTTTTTGAAAAACTACTTTAGGGGCTGGCCCCGTGGCCAGATGGTTAAGTTTGTGTTCTCTGCTTCGGTGGCCCAGGGTTTCACAGGTTCGATTCTGGGCATGGACATGGCACCGCTCATCAGGCCACGCTGAGGCAGCGTCCCACATAGCACAGCCAGAAGGACTTGCAACTAGAATATACAACTATGTACTAGGGGGCTTTGGGGAGAAGAAGAAGAAGAAAAAAAAGGAAGATTGGCAACAGATGTTAGCTCATGTGCCAATCTTTAAGAAAAAACAAATTACTTTAAAGTGTATGGGGAAATATTGAGGAATTTTACTCTCCCGGGATAGGGGACTTTCAGTGAGTTGAGGGTTTTACACCAATTCTCTCTAAAATATTTATACTATTTAACCCAGTATTTCCAATCAACATATTAAAAAACTATATATATGAAGTTGGTCTTCATGATGTTATTGACAGTGGCAAAAAAATTGTACACAAACTTGTGGAAAATCATATACCTATTAAAAATGGTATATGTGAGGGGGCTGGCCCCGTGGCCGAGTGGTTAAGTTTGCGCGCTCCGCTGCAGGCGGCGCAGTGTTTCGTTGGTTCGAATCCTGGGTGCGGACTTGGCACTGCTCATCAAGCCACGCTGAGGCAGCATCCCACATGCCACAACTAGCAGGACCCACAATGAAGAATATACAACTATGTACCGGGGGGCTTTGGGGAGAAAAAGGAAAAAATAAAATCTTTAAAAAATAAATAAAAAATGGTATATGTGAATGCTATGTAACAACATGAAATCCTTATGCTATAATGAAAAATGAGAACAAGCACCTATTTATATGTTTGTGTGAAAACATATACACATACATTTACAAATTCATACAATTAGACATAACGCACATACCAGTTAAAGTTATATGTTATTTGATATCGAAATAAATTTCCTTCAATCCTCTTACCTCACATTCTATAAAATGTATTCAATATTGATACCAAATTTCTCTCAATTCCCAGGGTATATATTCCCATGGTCATTTTTTTCACTTACATTTTAAAATTGTGAGCAATATCATACATACAGGAGTATTTATAATGTATGTGTACGGTTTAAAGTGTAGCCATTGGGTTTCCATCAGGAATCGGAATTCTACTCAGTTGATTCCACTTAAGAGATATCAATGAAGACACTGTTTAAAGGAGTGTCGATGGGGTAAGAAGACCATCGAGTTGAGAGTCTAGCAATAGTGGGAAGCCCATACCACCTCTCAGCTAACAAGCAAGGGAAGAAAGTGTTTTCAGAGCTCCATGAGCTGGAGCCACGGAGGAGAGGCCACTGTTCAAGACCTGCAGTTGTGGAAGGACATAACCACCATCAGATCCTCACCCTCAAACAGAGAAAGAATGGAGAAAACATACCCTACCTCTCTTTCCTCCTGCCTCTGGTGTCCTGTGGATGACCCCCACTGTGCAAACCCAAATGGAAACTAGCTGAGGAGAGCTCAGGTGAAGCTTTCCAAACAGGTCAGCTTCTGGGGGATAGGACAGGGCAGGGAAGGGAGGAGAATGGATATGAGGGAAGGTAAGCATAAAACCCATATATAGTCTATCTGTTTTGCCACTCAGCATTTATTCTTGCCCTTTGCTCAGATGAAGAGAAGCTCATCTCCTACATGTAAGAATCACAGAATCCCACCAACCACCATATTGCTTTGAGGTGATATCAATCCAGGTATACTCTGACCTAGAAACTAAATTGTAATATTTGTCTCCACCAGTACTCTTCATACAAGGTAACAAGAAAAGAGGGGCAGGGAAAAAAAGGATTAACATTTTATATGCAGAGCCACAACAGTCCTTGCTTCTACAGCTTCTTGTAAGGCTAAAATTGATAATCATAGCTTCCTACTTCATTCATTTATATTTCCCTTGTCCTGTGCAGTATCTTGGAGATCAGGATTTTTTACTCGGTGTGGTGATGCAACACTTTACTTTCCTCATGGTCTGAAATTGAAGTGGTCTGACTTTATCAGGTTACTGCAGTTATCTGATCATTTTTCTTGCACGTGGAGTATTAAGACGTGCCCAGTGAATTTCTAGGCATCATGCACAGTTCTCCTCGCCCTCACTGTAGAGCTGCAACCCAATTTCCCCTTGGTAACTGGGATCAGTTACCCAATTCCATCACTATGAGGAACCACAATGATCAAGGCGCAGTTTCAGCTTCCAATTCAACAGAACCATGGCTGGGTCCTCTAGTGAGGGCATTTCTTCATTTTGAACTAGGACTTCTAACCACGATAAACCCAATGTTGTAGAAATGGTGTGCTGTATATTTTCCATTTGTCCCTCCAGTCTTTATGTATAAGAGGCTGACCTCTATAGACTGCATCAACCTGACTCCCTCATCTTCTGGTGTCCTGTAGATCCAGCCAATATAATTCCTCAGCAGGATACCAGAGCATGGGGTACAGAGAGATGGGTCTTTCTTCTCCATTTTGTCCCCACTTTGAGCTGAGGTCCTAGCAGTGGCTACAACCATAGGATCTCATCCTACTGGGCCAAAGATCAGCATTGACTGCTTTCTGCTACTGAACAACATAGCTCCCATTGGGTTGCCCTCTCCTACAGCCACAGTATGGCTCTTGCCTGGTTTTAGTAACTGCTCCCTCCCCTTCATCCCTTCTGACCTAGAGTTAGTAACAGCTCCCTATGGTTGCTGGTTACTACGGTTTAGTGAATGCTAACTATGTGCCAGACACTATGCTAAGTGCCTAAATATATTTTCTCATTTAGTCTTCACAATCTCATAAGTTAGATGGCTTGAGTCTATTGTAGAGACGATAAAACTAAGTTTTGGAGAGGATAAAGAGTGACAGTGACAGAGCTGTACATTGAATCTACTTGTGGTACTTTTAGAGTCTGTGTACCCAAATGCTATTCCCCACTTCTTTTATCAGTTGTTATCCTCCCTTAAAGAGTCAAAACTCCACATGGCTTTGCTCCTTGGGAACATATCCACTCCAAAAACTGGAAACAGAGATGCTAGTGAGATGTCCCCACCCAGCCATTCAACAAATAGTGTCTGGAATGTGGGACCCAAGCTCTAGAGTACTGAAGGCCGGTGCTGAGAGCATCAAGGCAAGCCTAGGAGGTCGGTGTGGTGTTCACCCACAGGCTGAGCCTGGGGAAGGTTAGTTGCCTCCACTGACATGGTGATCAGCCAGGGCTAAGAGCAGAGACCTTCCTCATGGACCTTCCCCAAGGCCAGAGCCTGGTGAAGTCCCTGCTATTCTTCCAAGCCATCTAGCAGCAAAGAACACAGTGCCAACAGTTCCTCAAATGCTCTCTCAAAGAGGCTGGGAGAGAGGCTTGGCTTACTCAAGATAGAAATTGCTGGTGGGGGTGAGAAGAAATGGACATCTCTCAGAACAGCAGGGGAGACAGATGGCTCTGTCCAAAAATAAAGAATTAGTAACTTTGGTCAAGTCTGCTCTTTTTCATTTCCTGTCTTAACCTTTTTGCCATTTTAATAGAGGCAATTTAACAGATGAGGAGACTGAGGCTCTAATAGATTAAATAAACTGTGTTGAGATTCAAATGGAGAGAGAAAAAAGTCCACCCTCAACGTTAAACCTATTCTGCAAATAGAAAAGCCCTTAAAAATGTTTATAACTGTGGATATAAGGGACAACCCTTCATGAGACGCATTCTCTTCTCAGAAACTGACTCAACAGTGGTCGTTGGCGCTACTTCTGGAGAATAACAGGGAGATAGCTCATTATCCAGGGCTATTGAAGCTTAGCTCAGCGCTGGAGCATGGATTCCTCATATACGCGGGTAACTGAAAACCGCACTGAGGCCTTTGAGATTTCCATTCTGTTTCCTCTGCCTCCCCTCAAAATCTGACAGCTGAGTGGCTGCAGCTTTGAATTTGCCTCCTTGACCTGCCCCTCTAGGGGCCTGGCCAGAAAGCGAGGCCTCGGGTCAGGCATGCGGGCCCTTTAAGGAAGCCAAGGGCTGCGCTGATTGGCTGAGGCTCGGAATCTACTATCATGCCAGCCAATCCCGAGGCTCTTCGGGGCGAGGCCGGGTCACTGCTGAGGTATAGGGGACCCCGGGCTGCTAGGCCTCTGCTGCTATCCCGGTGTCCCCGCGCCTCCGCCGCCCGCTGCCCAGTGAGTGAGCGCCGGCCGTGCGGGACCGGCCGGCCGCAGGTGGGTGGGAGGGTGGGTCCGTGCGGCCGCGTCTGCAGCGCTGAGCTCCGGGGCCCCGGGCTTGCCCAGCCGGGCTAGGCGCCCCCAACCCCCTTAGCGCCCGCCCTTGGCTCTCCTCCAGCCCCTAGTGCTGACCGCTAGAGCCACCCCCCGCTCAGAAGAGTCTCTTGCCGTCGCGAGGACTTCTGGCCTCTCCTGTAATGTAATCGAGCTGGGGAAAGAAATCAGAGCATTATCACGGAAATCAGCACACCACTGCAGGAAGTTCCCAAGTGACAGTAATTGGGTCCAGGGAGCGCGGGTGGAGTTAAATTAGGGGAAACCTCCTGGAAGCTGTGGGTTCGGTGCTGGAATTTGCAGGCGAAGAGGTCTAGTTTGAATGGAACATAAAGACTTGTTGAAAATGATTGTAATTATGCAACCAGTCATAAATGTAGATAATGTGTCATTTGATCAGGAAATGAGTCAGTGCGGAAATTTGAATGACAGAGGTCACGATGGGTCATGGAATTATCGTTTTTTTTTTAGTAAGTAAAATCAAATCCAGGTCCCCAGGGGTGACTGGAAGAAGGCTGCCTGGAACTTGCAGTCCCAACAGTCCTCAGAAATACCCCTTCCATTGTAATCTACAGCACTGCTGAGGCAGGGCTGGGGCATGAAAGAGCCCTTTCTAAGGTCTAAGGAGTAATCAAAGGCAAAATGAAGGCAAAAGGGAACCAAATCAGCATTCTCAGCCCTCTGAGACACACTGGCGTCTAAGCTGTAAGTAGCAAGACATTTGTCACCAATGATAAAGTCTTGGAATTTTGGAAAGACTTATGCAATTGACTGAATTCAAAGTTATCTCTATTGCAAGGTCACTCTTGCTTCTTTTTTCCCCCCAGTTTTATTGAGAAATAATTGACATACATCACTGTATAAGTTTAAGGCGTACAGCATGATGGTTTTATTTACATAATTGCCATATGATTACTGCAATAGGTTCAGCTAACACCCATCATCTTATGTGTATACGATAAAAAAAAAAAATTTCCCCTTGTGATGAGAAGTCTTAGAATTTACTCTCTGAACAACTTTCCTATGTATCATACAGTAGCGTTAACTGTAGTCATCATTTCTGATTCATATTTTGTGTATCTGGGAGAGAGAAAGCTGGGAGTATTCTGAGGAACCTCCGTACTTTGGAAAATGGCTTTGATAGGGTGGGGAAGGAGAGGAAGGTTGAAAATACTGAACTCCAGGGCATAGTTGACAAGGTGTGGTGCAATCATTTACAGGTTTGGTCTCCGCAGAGGACGTGGGTAAGCTCTTCTACCTGCTTGGCTTCCAGCTTTAACTCTGAGGAGTGTCATTAACATAAAACATCCAGACTACAAGAAAGCAAAGCCCAGAAAGAGGTAAGCCTAGGTCCTAACTTTCCAAGTAGTTTCTCTTCCTTAGATGGCTGACATGAGGACTGTCCCTGCATTTCAGGGGGAATCCTACCCTCTATAAATAGGGGCACTGTCAGAGACACAGCTCTGTGACATGCAGGGTGTGTGTAGGAACGGGATTAAAGGACAGTTGTTCTCTTTATAAATGTTTGCAGGATATGTAAAAACTCAATCATCTACTTCCATGTGCAGAGGACAAATAGAAATGGCAAGTGGCCTGAGCCATGCTTTCTCTTGTATCACTCATGCTTTCTGCAAACATTTATGGGAAAGAGACACCATGGAGACTGCCAAGATGGGTAATATATTGCTCCTGCCTTCAAGCAAGCTCTGCTGTAGGAGACAATTGACATGTGCCTGTCAGAGTTTGGAGAAAAGGAGAGAACTTCTGCTAGATCTTCCCACCCTTGGTAGCCTCTAACTCTGGTCATAGGATGCAGTGGGGCAGTGGCAGAGAGGGAGAGAAACCTCATGACCTCCCAGGCCTGTTCAGGGCTGCACCCCTTCTCTCTGGTGAGTGGTTGCCTGTGCCCAGCATTGAAGCTGACTCTGGCTCAGAGGCCCCTGTAATTACAGGGTGCATCTTTGGCCAGAATACAGGGAAGCCACTGAAGTCTGGCTTGTGGTTCCCACTCACCTGGAGCCCCATTAGCAGGGATAACCCATTCCACGTGGCATGAAATGCCCTCCCTCTCCCCTGCCTTCTCCCCAGTTAGTCAGAACCCAGGGTTTCCTGACAAGGATATGGAAAATAGGAGCTCTTCTGGACTTCCTGCAGAATTCTGTGAATCCTGGATAGAAAGCATTATGACTTGCCACTCTGACCTGAGGTTCACAAGCCTGCTCTACAGCCTGTCAAAGAGAATCAGCAACATTGTTGAGGAAGGTAGAACAGTTGTAACTTCCCTGAGTTTTGCAGTCTTCTGAAAGTAAAATCAACAACTAACTGAAGGTCTTCTGTACTTACCCAAGTGGATTAAGAACAAAAAATTTGAGTTCTGGTTCACCTAGAAGTGACAGCCTACTTAACTTCTTAAGTAAATAAATAAGATAGACAATACTAAGTATTCTTTTAAAAATTGGGTTTCCCACGACATTTAAGTCTCCTGTTTTTCCCCTTTTGAGAACTTCAGTAATAGCTTAAAGAGAACAAAGGTGAAGCTAGAGGAGGATGGCCAACGGATGTCAGCAATGGGTGCATGGAAATAGGGAGTGTGTAGGATAGGGGCAGGGATTACAGGAAGAGTATTGGTCCAGTGACCTTGAGACACCTAAAACTTCCTGAAACACAAATGCAAGGAGCACAGAGAAACTCGCCCCCAAGGGGCACAAAGCATCTTCTGAATCACCGCTCCTCAGAAGCAAAAGTTCTCTCATGAGACTGCATAGAAGTAAAAGGACGGATGGTATCCACCCTGTCCCTCACAAAAAGAGAGGGTTTTTTTGGGTTGGTTTGTTTTAAACTATTCAGTTCTTCAAGATTTACAGTAGGAAGCAAAATCAGGAAACATGGAGCCATATACTTTAGAGCAGGAGAAGATTTTAGAATCATCTAGTTCAATCAGCTGGTCTTAGGTAAATAAATGATGGCCGGGCTGGTTAAGTTTGCCTAAGGCCAGAGAGCTAGTTAGGAGCAAAGACTAGAATCCACACGGTTTTCCCAGGTCAGAAATTTTGTGTGTGTGTTGTTATATGCTCATGGTAGCTCAAAGCAGAGCATATGAGGATGCATGTAGAATATATTGTTTTAAGCATCTTTGCTTTTTTACATTTTAGGTCAAGATGGGGTTTATATTTTCAAAATCTATGAATGAAAACATGAAAAACCAACAGGAGTTCATGCTTATGAATGCTCGACTTCAGGTACATTTTCAAATGATTAAGCTTTTATGTTGTTACAGTGGTTCAAGCTTCTACCACATGTGTTCCAGCAGTATGTTCTCTTTGACCCAAAAGGTTAATGCTCTGGGAGCTCTGTCCTCACAGCGAAGATGAAATGGATTATTATTTATCTGGTGAATGGGCTTGTTTAAATCTCCAATCCTGGTATTTGTGTAAAAATGTCTATACTGCGGGAAGAAATAACTGCTTAGAGTCCAGGGTCGGCAGAATTGCGGCCCCTCCCCAAAGATGTCTCCATCCTGATCCCCCCTGAATATGTTACCACGGCAAAAGAGACTGCAATGTGATTAAGTTGAGGAGTTTGAGATGGGGAAGATCCTGGATTATCTGGATAGACCCAGTGTAATCACAGGGATCCTTATAAGGGAAAGAGGGAGGCAAGAGGGTAAACATCAGAGAGAGAGATTTGAAGATGCTACGCTGCTGGCTTTGAAGATGGAGTAAAAGGCCATGAGCCAAGGAATTCAGGCAGCCTCTAGAAGCTGGAAATGCAAGGATATGGATTCTCCCCCTAGAGTCTCCAGAGGGAACACAGTCCCACCAGCCCATTTGGAACTTCGACCTCCAGAACTATGAGATGATAAATTTGTCCTATTGTTTTAAGCCACTAAGTTTGATAATTTGTTATAACAGCAATAGGAAATTAATACAGAGTGTGAAAACTTGACACTGGGTTTATACATAGGCTGGATAGAAAAGATCAGAGCAAAGTAGAAGACTGTCTAATTGCCTAATATAAGTTGTCAAAAAGTATTTTAAAATGTCATATGTCAAAATGAAGTGTTAAAAGTTTGACCAGAATTGTTTTCCTAAGATTTCAGACAAAGATCTCTAGGCCTCTGTGGTTCATTCTGGCCCTGGGAGGAGACGGTCCTACTGTGAGACCATAGTGAGTGGTTCAAAGTGAGGACTAAAGCCAGACTGCCTGGGTTTGAATCCCACCTCTGCCCCTGACCAACTATGACTTGTGCCTTAGTCTCCTAATCTGTAAACTGGAGGTGACAGTATCCCCTTCAAGTGTTGTTTTCAGGAGTAAAGATGATAGTTTACAGAGAGTATACAGAACAAAGACTCAAGTCTTTAGGACAACGACTCTCACTCTATAAGTATTAGTTGTTGCTGTTGTTGTTATTGCTAATAAAAAGTGATCAGGGATGGGCCCCATGGCCCAGTGGTTAAGTTCACATGCTCCGCTTCGGTGGCCCAGGGGTTCATTGGTTCAGATCCTGGATGTGGACCTAGCACTGTTCATCAAGCCACACTGAAGCAGCCTCCCACATAGCACAACCAGAAGCACTTACAACTAGAATATACAACTACGTACTGGGGGCTTTGGAGAGAAGAAGAAGAAAAAAAAAAAAAGATTGGCAACAGATGTTAACTCAAGTGCCAATCTTTAAAAAAAAAAAGTGATCAGAGTGTCTTGTGCAGTGTAAAAACTTCTTTTTGAGGAATGGAATAATTGAAAGAATGGGCAACTGAATTATTGTTACAGAGCAAAGTCACCTAAGGGAGACCAAACGTTAGGTGTCTGAACCAGTTAAATATGTCACATGCTCAGAGAGTCCTTGTCCAAGCCCTCCGGAAACTATAGGGCTTTTACTCTTATGTCAGTCCTCATGAAGTCAGGGTGTGTGAAGGGTTTGGGATTTTACCCTACTTGCAAGCTGACACATTAGCCTGATACTATCTCATGGATGCTGCAGAACACAGGAGACACCTACGTCAGAGAGAGGGGACTTTATTACTCATAGCACAGCAAGCAGCATGAGCATGAGGTTGGTGTCAATCCCCCATGCCCCTCAAGCCTCACAGAGGTGATAAACTTGGGCCTAAGTAGGTGTAGTGCACTCAGTGGGTTTGTGGCACATTTGAGGAACCCTGGGTTTGGGGAATCTGCTGCTTTTATAGTGAGTGGGGAGCTGGTGGAGTTGGTGGAAGGGGTTACCTCATTCCTCAAGGTTGTTCACTACAAACACAGCCCAGAGAAACAGCCTGAACAAAGAGCAGTCTGAGCCTTGCATTCTTGGCCTACCCAGCAAGAATGTGCTGGGACATTCAGGGCTCATGGCTTATTGCCGCTCTCAACTACCTGCCCCTCAGCCCGACCGACCAGAGCTTTGAGAACAGCCTTGACTTCTGTCCACTGATCCCATCGACCACTATAACTGGCGCTGAGGTCAAACTGGCAGAAACACTGTTGGCACCATAAGTTTTCAGCTTAGTTGAACCAAAGATGAACAAGGCCTGGGCATTTAGGAGAATCTCTGTGAATCCAAGGGCCCTACTGAGCCAGTAGCGTTGCTTCAGGCGGCAGAGTGGGGAATAAAGTTTTTCCCAAAGGGGTAGCTATTACTCCTCTATACAAAACTGAGATGACAATAGGGCCAAGCCAGCCATACCCTCAAGTATATTTTCATTTTACCAGCAAATGGGCCCTTTCCTTGTGGTTGTCGGGTGCTTGTTGACCCCCTCCAAAATCGAGATGTCAGGCCTGAGAGTCATAAGGCCCCCTTGGGTCAGGTGTTCATCCTTAACAAAAGCTCGGTAGTAAGCCAACAGCTGCCTCCCCTTTTTGAAAGGGGATGTTATGGGGTGAATTTTGTCTACCCTAAATTCATATGTTAAAGCCCTAACTCCCACTACCTCAGAATGTGACCTTACCTGGGGACAGAGTCTTCACAGAGTTAATCAAGTTAAAATGAGGTCACTAGGGTGGGCCCTAATCCAATATGATTGATGTCCTTATAAAAAGGGGAAATTTGGTCCCAGAGACATGCATACAGGGAGAGTGCCATGTGAATATGATGTTGGCCGTTTACAAGCCAAGGAGAGAAGCCTGGAACAGATCCTTCCCTCACAGCCCTGTTAAGAAACCAGCCCTACTGACACGTTAATTTCGGACTTCCAGCCTCCAGAACTGAGACAATAAGTTTCTGTTGCATAAGCCACCCACTTTGCAGTACTTCCTGATGGCAGCACCAAGAAACTAATACAGGATGTATTTGGTGCCAGTGTTCGGCAGGTGGCGCTGCTATACTGGGAAATGGCCTTCCTGGAGATGGGCTGTAGTTTTTTTCTTTTTCCCCCTGGGATTCTATATTGCTTCTGTTAGGCCATCTGGAATCAGGGTCAGGGAATCCCTGAATGGCAGAATGTCCTTTCATCACTATGAATATTTACAATATAAGCAAGTAACATATCGATTTCATTATACATTTATATGTGGGAGACACAACTGGGCTATCTTGAATCAGCTCAAAGGTTGCTTTAATTTTCCTTCCTTCCTCACTGCAAACTTTGCTCAAATTCTGTCAGTTGAATTCCAGTGCTTTTTTTCCCTGTGGGAACACAGACCAAAGAATTTAACATAGGTACTTCAGAGGTTATCTTAATAGTTTCAGGAGATTATGCTCTCTCTCAGCTGGAAGAGACTGGGGAGCACAAAGGAGCAAGGACCACTTTTTGCCCTTCACCTCCTCAACCCAGAATTGGTACTGCTTCCTCCCCTGTGCACCCCTGGCATCCGGAGAGCACTGGGGTTCAGGGGCATCATTCTTTCAGCCTCAGCTGGAGCCATTGCTCTGTCCTGCAATGGACTGGAATTGACCTTCTGTCCTAGAGCCCCTAGGACTGAGCAGGACTGTAAATGGAAGCAATGGGACACTGGGGTAGAAGAGGACATGTCTTTGAAAGTTTTTCAAAGGGAAATTTTTTTTTTTAAAGATTTTGTTCTTCCCTTTTCTCCCCAAGCACCCCTGGTACATAGTTGTATATTTTTAATTGTGCATCCTTCTAGTTGTAGCATCTGGGATGCCGCCTCAGCATGGCCTGATGAGCGGTGCCATGTCTGCGCCCAGGATCCGAACTGGAGAAACTCTGGGCCACCGAAGTGGAGCACGCGAACTTAAACCACTCGGCCACGGGGCTGGCCCCTCAAAGGGGAAAGTTTTAAAAATCCTGATTGAAACACCACACCCACTAATATCTTTAGCCTGTGATGGCATATCTTTTGGTTTTTTTCCTATTTAATGGCATCTTGATAAAAAGAGTAAATAGGAGAAATAAAGCAAAACTTTTATTAAAGAAAAGCCTATTAACTAGAGTCCTTTTCCCAGTAGGTTTTTGTTAGTTCTACTTTTTTTTTTTGGTGAAAAAAAAAGAGATAAATCGTAACTCAATAATTCCATATTATTGTTTGTTTCTTTCAGAGGAAAGGACCAGAATTAGAGATTCAGCTACATCTTATACCAGTGACAAGGTTCTCAACTCTGGCTGTACATTCGATTCACCCAGGGGCTTTCAGATGTTTAGGTTCCACCCAGATCAATCGGATCTCTTCGTGGCTGGCAGGTGTTGATTTAAGCTCTCGGAGGGACTGTAATGCACAGCCTGGGTTGAAAACCTTTGCTCTTTCCTTTTCAATGATGTTACATAAGTGTAAGGGATGACCACCAGTGATTAAATATAATGTATATTGGAGATGGAACCAAATAAGTTTTCAATTTAGGTAAGTTCATCATGAAATTAAATCAATCACTGGAGTCTGGTTAATAGAAATTTATAAAAGGCTTCAAATAAAAAAGTTTCCTTTTTTTTAATTAACAATTTTGGTTCAAGTTGAGCTGGAGGGGATTCACACTACTAGTTATAATGATGTTTTCAGATCATCAGCAACCTTCAGTTTCCCACTGCTTTGTCCGGCCCCTGTTACTGAGGCTGGTGGATGGGTGTCTACGCTCAGCAAAGTATCACTGAGGCGAAAATGAGTACTTCCCTAAAATGCCACTAGATGGCACACCTAAACTAATTTTATATCACCTGAGTGGCTGGAAAAGCATTTTGATGTTACACAATAGGGTGGAAACTGGAAGCAGAAAGCAGAAAGAATGAGGGAAGAAAAGATTCCATAGGTCCTTGCTGTGCTATCATACTATGTGGGCAAGGCACTTATGGTCCAT